TCTCAGCCTGGGGGTCCGGGACTCTGTGTCCTAGCGTGATTTTGGGGGGGTTTGAGGGGGTCCATGCCGTCGGTTCCCCCGCCCCGGCGGCAGGGCTCGGTCCCCGGGGCTTTACCCGCTGCTGGCCCGGTGGCCCGTGTGTATTTATAGCCGTCCGCCGTCCGGAGATCCGCTTATTAAAACAGTTTGGTTTATTTTTCGTAAGAACATGAAAGCTTAATGGGGTTTTCACAACTAACACTTTTGCCCCTCCCCCTCATTCCAGGATCTTGAACCCAGCTCTGCAGGGAGGACATTAATTTTTTATTTTTTTTTTGTATTTTGAATTTTTATTTTTTTGGCCACCTCCAGTCCTGTCCCCCCCCCGGATCTCTGCTTGGAGGGTTTGGCTATCTGGACGACGGCGACTGACTGTGGAAGGAAAGCCACCGGAGCAGCTATGCAGCTGGAAATTCAAGTAGCTCTCAACTTTATCATTTCGTATTTATACAACAAGCTCCCCAGACGACGCGTGAACATCTTTGGCGAAGAGCTCGAGAGGCAGCTGAAGAAGAAATACGAGGGCCACTGGTATCCGGACAAGCCCTACAAAGGGTCAGGGTACAGGTGCATCCATGTAGGGGAGAAGGTGGACCCTGTGGTGGAGCAGGCGGCCAAAGAGAGCGGGCTGGACATCGAGGACGTCCGGAATAACCTCCCTCAGGACCTTAGCGTGTGGATTGACCCGTTTGAGGTTTCCTACCAGATCGGGGAGAAGGGACCGGTCAAGGTGCTCTATGTGGATGATAACAATGAAAACGGCTCGGAGCTGGACAAGGAGATCAAGAACAGCTTTAACCCGGAGGCCCAGGTCTTCATGCCCATCAGCGACCCGGTGGGGGCCTCGTCCGAGTCCAGCTCCCCCTCGCCCCCCTTCGGCCAGTCGGCGGCCGTCAGCCCGTCCTTCATGCCCCGCTCCACGCAGCCGCTGACCTTCACCACCGCCACCTTCGCCGCCACCAAGTTCGGCTCCACCAAGATGAAGAGCAGTAGCCGTGGCAACAACAACAACAACAATGGCGGCGGAAACAACAACAACAATGGCGGCGCCAACGGAGGCAAGGCGGCGCGCACCTCCCCCACCACCAACCTGGGCCTGAATGTCAACACGCTGCTCAAGCAGAAAGCCATGTCCGGCTCGGTCCACTCGCTGTACGGGCTGGGCCTGAACCAGGGCCAGGGTCTGGGTCTGAACCAGGGCCTGGGTCTGAGCCAGGGTCTGAACCAGGGTCTGGGTCTGAACCAGGGCCTGGGCCAGCAGAAGCCCTCTGCCCTGTCCCCCAACGCCAAGGAGTTTGTGTTCCCCAGCCTGCAGGGCCAGGCCAGCCCCGGGGGGGCCGGCTTCCCCGGGGAGGGCTCCCTGGGCCTGGGCCCCCTGCAGTACAACAATGCCTTCGACGTGTTGGCGGCCTACGGCAGCCTGAACGACAAGTCCCTGATGGACGGGCTGGGCTTCAGCCTGGGCAACATGCAGTATTCCAACCAGCAATTCCAGCCCGTCATGGCTAACTGAACCCCTCCTCACGCTATTTATGAACGACGTTGGCTCAAAGAGAAGGAAAAACAAAATGCGCACACCAGGAAACTGGACTGAAGGATTTGGCATGCGCCCAGGGGTGGTGTTTCTGTTTTTTTTACCGCCCCCTTGAGTTTGTTTCTACTTAAAGCTTGTTGTACAAACACATCTGAGCTTGGTTACTTCAACTCAACATGCATTGTTGTTTTTCTTTTTCCTTTTTGCCAACCAAGCACAATCTCTCTCTGTTTTTTTTACTTTAACGAAGACTCCAAATCAAAAAACAAACAAACAAACGACAACAACCGTAAAATACATGCTTCAAGTTTTGGCCTCTTACAGTATTTTACAGGTGGTAAGACAAGGCTGATTTTTATGAATTGGCACTACTAAGTGGGGTTACTTGGTCTTTTTCTAATTGTATAATTTAATTTAGTACAGAGTTTGTAAGATATCAGAGTATATATTGTTTCTATGACATGGTGTTGCATTTATATCTTTTTACTACTCCAGTGATCTGTGATGGCTGCAGCAGCTTTTTCTTTTTTTTCCTTTTTTTTCTTTTTTTAAAGATAATTGTTAAATAAATCCATCTCTAAAAGGAAAAAAAAAAATCAAATATTCTGAAGATTGTGTACAGATTATACCTTTTAGTGGTGGAAATTCAAATGTAGGAATATTTGCTTTTTTCTGAAAGATGAATTGTATTTTCTGTTAAGAGGTTTAAAAAAAGATTTTGCTATACTATGGACAAAATGTAATCGTATGAATATTAATTTTGTACCTACATTGTGCAATACTTGATAAAGAAAAAATACGGTATAACAAAGTATTTTGAGTCAGTGTCTTACATGTCAAGAGGGACTGAAATAGTTTATATTGTTAAGTTTGTATTAAATGCTTAAAAATTATATGCTTGTCTTTATTTTTTTTAATTTCATATTTGCGCCCTGGTCTTTTTAATAAAATAAACTCCAGTTGAACATCGTCTGGTGGCAGTGGACTTCTTTATTAGCTCTGAAATAGCGGACTGCATCATTTTTTTTATTTTATTTGAAATATTTAGACTGGACTCCATTGGTGCGTGGGCAGATAAGGTCCATACTGAGGCCAGTGGAAGGTCCGGTGATGATGGAATCTGTGGGTTAACGCTGGTGTACCGTCCACTTTGGGTCCGTTCAGGCCCTCACAGACAAACTCAGCCGGTCACTGAATGGAGGTGGATGACCATCCGTCACCAGCAGCTAGAAATCCTCCACCGGCTCGTTTATTTTGAGGAATTTTACGTGGTTATGCTGCAGGAACTGGAGCAGGTCAAACATTTACGATTATCTGAGGCCACTTTGGGTTGTTTGGTACGTCAGAGGTATTGAACCCGCTCCTGTTGAGTTGTTGAAGCTGCTTGTGTAAACAGAAGTGTCATGAGGGCTGCTGCTAACGTGGCTAACTAGCCGATTTTGGAACAGACTGCACAGTGGGGGCTATTCATTCTGTTTTCAAGTTGAGGATGAGCTGTCAGAGCACAGCTAATTTAAGCTATCAGCTAATTAGAGCAGAGTGACCGTGGATTTTCTCTATTGAAACTTTCCAACAGTTTCTGTGGGTTTGTACCAACACTGTACTGTGGGTTTTTGCTCCAGGCACTTAGCTTGTTGTCAGTTTATTTAATTTTTCTTTTTTAATAGAAATCGATCCCATCGTACTCAGATTTGCTGCTAAAAATATTAGCAACTTACTGATGACAGTTTGTCTTGCAGGCCTTTTCCTTCCCCCAAAAAAACATGAATTCCCCTCATCTGTCTGAAGTTATAGTAATGCATACAGTTCTACTTAGCCCATTAAATGTTCTTTATGACAGTGTACATGCACAGGTGGCTAATCGATGGAAGATTTGAAATAATGTTCATATTCATACTGTCTTAAGCAACTTTACATTGGCACTTAGAGATGAAGAGAGCAGCTGTAATGTTATAGACTACTGATTTTTTTTTATTGTTTTGCTTTTTACTGAAAATGTAACCCTCACCTTATATTTTCATTGTAATTTTTAAAGTAATTTCTGGATTCTTTTCTGTGTTGTGAAGACAAGTTGAGGGCTTGAATGACTCCTCGCATTATATGGAGCATTTTACCTCTAAACCGACAACCTGGTTATCTTAGTTTGGCTTTTAAAAGTTTAATTTTCTTAGATTTCAGGACGGACTAACTTATTTCTATGTGTTTACACAAGTTTAATTAAAGGATCTTGCCGGCGTTCATGAGGAAGATGTGATCCATCACACCTGTGTACTCCCCTGTGTTTGGGCCTTTCCTGTAGCTAAACAAATGAGCAGCTATCTGACTTTCTACACCATGACATTCGTTTGTCAGCTATGGAGAAGGATATGGTCAAATTAAAAAAGTTTCTCCAAACACACAGCAGATCACACATTAAAGGCTTTGGGGAAAGTATCGGAAGAGGGGATTTAACCGTTTTGAACTAAAATCAATACATTATTTAGTGGTTTAAGAGTAGAATTTGACTTTCAAAGTAGCTCAGATCAGCACCAAACCAAACATGAGTTGTTTGGTTGGCTTCCATGTGGGAGCACGAACAGTTAAAGTAAAGCAAAGGCGTTCTTCATCAGTTCTGTTTCTGCAGTCAAGTCTGAATCTGACTTTAGATTGCTCTGGCAAATAAATTGCTGAGAATCCCTGGCGTAGTAAATGAATTCCAGTGGGGCTGAGGGGGGGTGCAGTGGCTGAAGAGGATTAGACTGAGAGGTGATTTTTGCTGGTTGTGATTCCAGCCTCACTGAAAACACTCCCCCCTCACGCTGTGGGGGATGCTGGAAAAATACTCCTCCTTTGCATACACCAGTAGTTCCTCCACGGATGACATGGTTTTATCAGCATCCAGAGATTTAAAGATGCATTAACTGAGAGTGTGATGCAGCAGAACCTCTGCTTACGATAGCTAAACGTACAAATTTACCAACATACGAAATGAAATTCGATCAAATTCGACACCCAAAGTAAATTTCCAACAGACGTATGATGTCGAAGTCATAGAAATAAATATATGAAATATAAAAATGAAAGAAAATTAAATAAGATAAGTTAGTTTAAAGTTCAGGAAGTGAAAGTTAGAGTAAGTTGGGGTTCGTCCTATGTCTCAGGCTCTACCTCTACCTCTGTTCGCCAGGTAAAGTGCCAATAAAAACCCCTTTTTATTGATTATTTCTTTTTAGTTTATTTCTTTTTTACATATCTCTTATATAATGTTTTTGTTTTATTGCTATGTGTAATTATCTGCAGTATTTATTAAGGAGTTATTGTAGGTTTTTGGAACCAATTATTTGAATTACAGTGTATTCTGATGGGAACATTTGAACCAACATACCAATATTTCACATACAAAGTAGGTCCCGGGACGAGTTAAATTCGTATGTAGAGGTTCTGCTGTAGTTGGGGAATAAAAACAAACCCATGTCCAGCCAAGCCCCTTTTTCACATTGTGTGAAATGCAGTCATTGGCTTTTTTTCTTCTAAAAAAAACTCTTTAAGCCCTGTGTTTTTTTTTGCTTTTCAGCACATATTGAGCCTTGCAACCTGAGTAGAAAACAATATCCAAAACAAACACACACACGTACACACTGAGTTCCACGTGAGCGAGCGGGCGCTCTGGGATAAACAGGCCTACAGATGGTCGGGTGTCACACCAGCTGGGAGACCCAGGGTGTGGGGTGTTGCCGTGCTGTGACTCCATCTTGTCTCCTCCACAGACAGTGTGCTCTCACTTATTACTGCCGGACCCTGCTCAAACTGTATCGTACACCAGACCAGCACCGTGGCATCAACACACAGCCGTTTGTGTCATTGTGTCAATGCTGCTTTTGAGAATTACTAGAATTGTAATAGTAATGGGTCAAATGTAGCCACGTTAACCCAAAAAACCAGTGAAATAGAACAAGTTCAAAGCAAAAGTCTGTGTTTTTTTAAATATATATATTCACTTTATTGCTGTTATATAGGTGACAGATGAACGACTGTTCTTGTGCTTCAGGCTAAATAAAAAAACAGGTAGCAGTTTGAAAGCTTGTATATGATAAAGAAAAAAGATTGATTGTAAAATCCATCAATTAGTTCCATTAACTAACTCCTTGCTTATCTATCTATCTATCTATCTATCTATCTATCTATCTATCTATCTATCTGGTTTACAGCTTCTCCTTCTGTTAAGTGGACCAACAGACCCCTAACAGGCTTTAACATCCAGCTAATCAGGTTAGCTGGGCCGTAATGGAACACACGGTCACAGCCTTAAGCCTACTGCATCGCTATGTTCCCCTACAGCCCACTGTGCATGACAACAATTGACAACACAGGGAAATGCCAGTCTTTTGCTGAGAAAATCTGGCTGCGGACACCTCTTCATATCGCTGTAGCTAGCTTAAACAATAGCTAGCTGTGTCAACAGGATGCTAGAACTTCCTGAAGACTTGTCACTGTTACACGTTTTTATTTTATGAATTGTTGTGGTACAAAGTGTTCTGTAATGTGTTTCAAGTACTATTAGCTGGACTTTTGACGGGGCAGGTCTGCTGTTCTCTCATTATTTAACAATAATTAGCTAAAGCTAAGCTAGCGATTTTTGCTGTAACTGTTAGCCTATAAAGACATAGTTTATTTCCAAGCTAACTGACTCCTGGCTACTGTTTCATTCAGCAATCAAACAGCTAGTACGTGTATTATTTTTCAAAACCTTCATTCCTCATACAGAATTAATATTAAATCATTATCATATCAAATGGAGTATGACTGTAAAATACAAGAGTTTCCAAGACAAAAAGACAAGCCACAGTGAGTCATCATAAACTGGAGATGATGCATTTAAAGTGTGCCTAAACACAGTGGTGAGAATCCGGAAGCTTCCAGCAAGGACAGATGGGTCCCAGTGTCTCATCACAGCCAGAACTCAGAGACAGGAGCCCAGAGAGAAATGCATCATGGCGTCG